AAAAATTTTAAAGTTATTTTTAAAGATAGAAAAAAAATGAATAAAAATGAAATTTTTGAAAAGAAAAAATTTAAAAATTTTGAGTTTTTACTGTTTAAAACTTTTTTAAAGTTAAAAAAAATTAAAAATATAAGTTTTTAAGAGGGAAATTTAAATTTATGAAATATATATAGTATCAAAAAATTGGAGCACTTTGAAGCTCAACCAAACATGTTGTAAGACTCACATCAACTAGTTCCCTAAAATTGTACTATATGCCCAATTAAATGTATGTCTTACTATCAATGATCTGTTAGTTTGAGTAGAAGGAATTTGATTTTTTGTAAACAAAATTTTGAGTTTGAATCTTATAAATGAAGGAATAAACATTGAGAAAACTTTCGTTAATGAGTTCGACGTAATTTAATTTCAAATTAATTGAAATTTAATATGTTACCGAGATACAAAGGTAAGTAGAAAAAAAAAAAAAAAAAGGTATACCTTGGGGAGTTATGCCGACATTCCTTGGATAATTCTGGTACTAATTTTGCCTTGACCCAATTGAATGAGCGGAACTTTATCAATTCCATCACCTTACTTCACGGCACAGTCTCCTGTTTGAAATATCATCCTCATCATTACTCTTTTAATTTCAATATATGTTAATAGACATTTAAAAAAAAAAAAAAAACCACTTCGAACAAGTAATATTTTCTTACCAAAAGTTTCAAACTTATTTGGCCGGAGTCCATAATATTTTTGTTAGTATTTATGTTAATAGTGTCTTTAAATCAATTTTTATGTATATTAAAATTAATATCTCTCTAGAGAATTAAAAGGGCACCAATACCCTGGTCAACTTGACTTATTTTAAAATAATAAAATTTTTAAATATTAATCTAAAATTAAAATTTTAAACTTCACTTGTAAAAAGACACTTACTTGAACCATGATTGGGTTTCAGTAATAAGTTATTTAGTGGGCCTGTGATAAAGTTTGGTTTAATATCCAATTTGGTCCCTAAACTTTCATTTTTAAACTTAATTCATCCTTTAATTTTATAAAAGCACCCAAATCATTTTTAAACTTTAATTTTTCGAAACCCAAACGATCCTTCCATGGACAAAACTGCATACCTAGCATGTTAAGTCCCACCAATTACCTCTTTTAATTTTCATAAGCTTACATGAAAAAATCACCACACCCAATTGATGACATGGCACTGATTTCATTCCGCATCACATTCCAATCTCTCCCACCTTTTGGAGAAGAAGGAATCAAGTTTGATCTAGAACACTCCTAAACTGGCTCGTTTTCTTCTTCCAGATCTTCACCCATAGCCTCAAGTCAATGGGTCACCATCCGCTTCTATCCTCTTTGTCATCGTCGTCTTATTTAGCGTGCTCACTTTCTTCTTCCAGATCCTCAAGTTAGTGGGTCACCATCCACTTCTATCCTCATCATTTTCGTCATCTTCTTCAATGCATCCTTTCAAGCCCTTGCCCATCGTTGACTCGTTGGAGATCGAGTCTCCTTCGATGGTTGAGATTGCTACCATTTTCGACTCCGCCTCCACCATTACCAAGGAGAAAATCGAGAAACTCATGGTAAGGATGGAATCCTTCAAATAATTTAATTACGCAATATGAAAATGTTCCTAGTTAGTTACGTGATGGAAAAAATGGTTCTTTTGTGCTGTTTTGATTTTTAAGAGCCGTTTCTATCTAAAATTATGGGGCAAATTTAGGTTAAAGAATTCAGCTTTACTGGAGATTCTAGGCGAAATGTTTTATTTCATTTATATTGGTACTTAGCTTAAGGTAATTAGCCAAGAATATGCATGAATTCAAAGTCGTGTTACTATATGTGGGCTTTTGTATCTCAAGCCCATAATTGCATAGACTTCAAACTGAATTGTTCTATTTGCATGTATGTTCAAAATGTGAAGAGTGAGCTTCGGGTGCTTTCTAAAGTTAAAGGACTAACTAATTTTAGAAATGAAAGTTTAGGGACCAAATTGGGTATTAAACCATAAAGTTTTAGTAATCAGTATGTTAGATTTGGCAAAAGGTGCAGATCACCCCCTAAACTCAACAACTAGTGGCAAATTACCCCCTCAACACACTTCACTGGCAAATCAACCCCTCAACTCACATGTAGTGGCAAATCAGCCCCTCTATTAAGCTGAAATCATCATCCGTTAACTTTTAACAATCAGCTTATGAGCCCCCCACCCCCTGCGTCTGACATGGCTTTTTTTTTTTGGGTTTCAAAGATTTAATCTTTGTTAACAGGTTTTTAGCCAAAGAAAAAAAAATCTTTGCTAACAAAAACTCTATTCTTTTCTTTTCTTTTCTTTTCTTTTTGTGAAAAATGATTTCTTGGAAGGATTTGTACACCATCTTGAAGGCGGTGATTCCGCTTTACATGGCGATGATCTTGGCATACAGGTCGGTGCATTGGTGGAAGATTTTCTCACCAAACCAGTGCTTTGGCATCAATCGTTTCGTCACCATATTCGTTGTCCCGATCTTGTCTTTCCACTTTATTTCCACCAACAATTCGTACAAAATGAATTACAGGTTCATTGTCACCGATACACTTCAAAAGATTATCATGCTCGTCTTCCTTATGGTGTGGACGAATTTCACTAGGAATGGAAGCTTGGAGTGGATGATAACCATTTTCTCACTCTTTACTCTGCCCTAGTGGCAATTGAGCGAACTGTTAACCCAAGCCAAAATCTAAAACGATGCCTGTAAAAGAAAGAAGCTAAAATCCAAGCTGATAATGCCACAACCCAAAATCTAAAACAAAGTCTCAGAAAATCAAACGCCAAAGAACGATCATTTACGGCACAACCCAAGTCACAGAATTAGCAAATCTAACATCTTTTCCATAATTCATGCCTCAATTCACAAAAAGCAGATAACTTTAAACCCATAAGCCAAGTAATGACACTTCAAAATGCCATCTAAACCACTAAAGAGACCCAGAACAAGAGAGCAAAAACACCACAAACCAAAGAAATCTCAAACACAAATTCAGCAACTTTAACCCACAAAACCCCAAACCCACCAACAAACCCCTCAAAACACCCATCAAAATCACTGATTTAAGAGCATAAACTTGATTTAGATTCCATTGAGGAAACAAACATACCTCTGCTTTGGCTCCCTGGAGAGAACAAAACAAGGGTTAACAAGGTTGTTAAGCTGTTGAAGAATGGAGCAGAGTATATGGGCTTTTATTTTGGGGTTGGATTGAGGTATTTGTCCAGGTGGCACCTCCATCTCAGCAAAAAAAAGGCCACATTAGACCCAGAGGAATGGTTGATGGGCGAACTGTTAAATGTTAACGGAAGCGTTAAGAGAGGGGTTGATTTGCCACTCCAGGTGAGTTGAGGGATTGATTTGCGTGTGAAGTGTGTTGAGGGGGTGATTTGCCACCAGTTGTTAAGTTTAGGGGGTGATCTGCACCTTTTGCCGTTAGATTTGCCAGTCACTAATTTGCACATGGGAGGCGGATCCTGGACACTTAAATTGGGCAGGGCCCAAAAATATCTTCCTCGGCTTTGGTCCGTTTGAGGAGGACTTAATTTTCACAATTGCCACCAACATTTTGGAGCAAAAATCCCTAATCCTCTCAACATTTGAAGAAGAAAATTTTGCAGATTATTGATTTTCCCTCAAAAAGAAATGACTCCCTCTGTTTTCATGGAAGGATTGACCTGGTCATAACAGTGTGCATGCAACGAAAAGTGGGTCAATCTTTTTGCATTTTCCTGTAACCGATTGCAATCATTTGCTTCTAATAGGGGATTTTCGTTGTTAGATTAGATTCAAGGATCCATTTCAATTTTATCCAAAAGTAGCGATTCTTTCACAGTGAGACCACTCTCTTCTTCATTGTGTAGAAGCAAAAAATAGATGATTTGAAATTGAAGAAGATGGGCAAGAACACTCATTCACGGTTACATACCTCATAAATTCTCGTGGCTTGTATTCAGAAACTGCTAAATTTGTCCCTAAGAAGCTGCATTATTTAGAAAAATTAGATAGAGCAAATTCAGTTCTTAATGTTCTCAGAAACTATGGTTTTTCCGATGCCTTAATATCTGAAGTTGTGATGGTGCACCCACGACTGTTTACAGTTAGGGTTATTAACCAGTGACTCCAGCTATGTACTTGTGTTCAAGCTTCTAATAAATATTTGAGTAGCAAGTGAGATACATACCTTTTATATTAAATATAAACGAAAATTATTTTATAATATAAATGGTATTAAATTATAAAGTATAAAATTTTAAATAAAAACAATTTTTAAATATTAAAAGAATTGGATATTCATGTCCAATAATTCATCCATCCAAATTCTCCATGTTAAAAAAAAAATATGTAGTTTAAATATTAAAAGTATTTTTTTACTCAAAAAATGCTTTTTTCTTTAAACATGGAAAATTATGAAAAATTGAAGAAATTTTTAAGTAATTGATAAAAATTGAATTCTTAATAAATTAAATTTAAATATTAAAATTTAAAAATATTTTATTAAATTTGAAAATCTGATTCCACTCAAAAAGTACTTATTTTATAATACAAAAATAAAAAATAATACAAACTATAAAATAACTCAAGCGATATAAATCCAAAACGAGAATTAATAGTACGTTTTTAATCAACCCAAATTATAAATTAACAAACGTGCATATTTTAAAAAAGAAGATTGAAAAACGAACACATCTAGGTCGGGCCGGGTCTCCATCAAATTATGGGATCCACATTCAAATCCAATTCCAGACCCGCCGTCTCCTCCGTGCTTTCCTTCCCCTCCTCTCTCCTCTTAACGCTGTTTCCTGGCGATTCCGCCGCATGACGCCAGTCAGCATTTCGCTCCTTGAAATAACTGACAGCCACGTGTATCCGCTTCAGCGTCCTAAAGAACTCCTCAACCTCCTCGTCCGTCACGGCCGCCTCCCTTCCATTATCCTCCGCCCGAGCCCTCTTCGGAGCCTCCACAACCTCCGTCTCCCTCCTCTTCTTCTCTGACATCTTTCCGTATCCAACTTCTCTGATCTCGCTGGTTTTTTCATAGAGAGGGGCGCGGTAGATGGTATGGTTCGAAAGATATCACCACGTGGCAGACATCTATTGGGCTGGTCGAAAATTATAGGAGTTAAAATGGCAAAGGTAGAAGGAAGTTTGTTATGGTGACGTGACACTGCTGACGTTGGGCTGCTTCTGGGCCCAAAAAATAGCCTGGACCTGGTCCTATGGTTCTTGGTGGGTGAGGGTGATCATTGCAGTCTGCATATATACGGCACCATATAAGACCCCATAGAAATAATGGCACGATACAGCACGTGGAGTTACGTAATTAGTACAAATAACTGAATAAGTATTGTGAACCGCCTGTAAATCTAATGGTTTGATCTTAAATTTTAAGTGTTTGGGTGAGGTGGTTGGAGTTTCGAATTCTACCACCGTCGTGAACTATACTAAAAAGTGATCTGATGGTCGCACGCTTCATTTGAAAGGTCGCACGCTTCATTTGAAAGGATAAAATGTTCACTCAATCTAAGAATTAGTTGCTAACAATTAACTTTCTAATTATTACCTTTGTAAAAAAAATCAAGTTTTTCAATTCAAAATTTTACTTTTAAATTTTAGTATTTGAATTTAATTAATTATAAATTGATCTTCTACTAATTATTTAAAAAATCCTCTTATTTCCAAAATTTTTCATGTTAAAAAAAATTAATTTTTAATATTAAATTCCTCAAATCTAATAATTTTTATTTTATTGTGCAATACAGGTCCCATAAGTGTAAGTATACATATTGGAAATTATAATAATTAAACACTATTATACAAAACGTAAAAAAGTAAAGGAAAAAAACCTGTTAATCTTAGAAGTAGAACCTACAATTTGAAAATGCTCATCGTCTAAGTCTTGAATCAATTTGATGGGAGATTTTAGTCTTTACCTATAGAACTAATACATAAGAATACATAAGAATTTACGAAATTTTTTTTTTTTAATAATCTTCTTAAGAAGTCAAATCTTACTTAAATAAGATGAGAAATAATAACTCATTTGTTAATTAAACCTTATTCAATAAGAAAAAAATAACAATTCTTTTACAAGTTAAATCACAATTCATTAGATTAAGTGCCCTTTATGACATAAATTTTTATATAATGATAAATATTATGTAAAAAAAAAAAGAGACACGTATCTATTTAATGATATTCTTTTTTCTAAATAAAATCGTAAGCAAAAGTAGACAGATATAATTTCCTTCAATAATTTAATCTATCAAGATTTTTGCAAGAAAATATAAATCATGTCTTGGTCATGATAAGCACTTGATTCGCCACGTCCTAAGGATCTAATTATTATTGCCTGTAAAATTGGGACCATGATAAAGTCATATACATTTAAGCTTGCGAAAGTAATTCATTTCTGGGGGACCACTGAATAAGTGGGGGGGGTAAGAGTAGGACCAGTGCCTATCCCCTCTTGTCCTCCATTTCTTCCAGTTGTGGCTTTCGAGTATCCCAATGCTGGAGATAAAGCTCCATGCGTAGCGGTAGCAATTTCCCATAATCTCTTGTGGGTCTCACTGGGATCCTTGTTACGAGAATGGAAACAAAATGAGGATAGGGGTTATTTCCTTTTATAAATTTTTATAAGAAATTTCTTTTGTCTTCGTGAGATTTTGTTGGGATTTTCATTCTCCTAAAATATTAAAAAAAATATGTATATTAATTTTATTTTAAATTTAATTTTATCGAAGCCATCTGCCTCTGATATGTTGGACTGCTGCTATTCGAAGCCATCTGGGTGCGGTATCGAGTTCAAGATTCAGATATCAAAGAATGGAAGCTCCTGTTTCTTGGGTTTTTGCAAGAAAAATGTGTTTTTGGAATTGGAAGTTGAAGAAGACGAAGGTGTTTAGGGCTTGGACTTTTATTAAGTTTATATTTCTTTTATTTTTTTTTTATGATATATTCTTTTTTTTCTTTAATTTAGTTAATTTTTAATTTAATTTTTTTAAAAAAATATGTTCTTTGAAAGATGTGAGTTTCTTTACTCTGAATGATGGTATGAACCGTGATGAAGAAGATATTTCAAAGATAAAATATACATAATTTTTTTTATACAAATAATATAAATAGTTTTTTTTTTTAATATGTTAACATAAAGTATTTACTAATTATATTGTGGATGTGTGTTTTGAGTTAGTTGCCTCTCATTGTGCTGAAATTTGGATGTTGATTTAATTATTTTATTTATGTTGAATTAATTTTTACTTATGTTGGGATCAAGTATGTTAGTTTAGCTTGAATTAATCTTTATTTATGTTTGGAGCAAATTTGTTGATTTAGTTATTTATGTTGAATTTATTTTTATTTATATTTGGATAATTTTTATTTGATTTTATATTTAATGAATTTTAATTACTTGTATTTAAATTTTTAAAATTTTATTAATTATAATTAAATATTATTGATTAATTATATGTAAAAGACTAAAAAATTTATAATTTACTATTAATTGAGGAGAA